TAACAGATGCTGGTGACGATCATGAGCATGATGAGAACGATCCAGTCGTTACTGAGTCCCTGGATGTAGACGATCATGCTGATGGTGGCAAGGATAATGAGGAAAATCCAATCGTTACTGAGCCCGTGGATGAAGGTGAGCGTGGTGATGATGGTACTGATAGTCCAGTCATTACTGAACCTCTAGATATAGGAGGCAGTGATGATGATGATGATGATGATGATGATGATGATGATGATGCTGATGATCACGATTACGATAAAGATTCAATCGTTACTGAACGCCTCAACTTTGGAGATAATGATGGGGATCCAATGGTTACTGAATCCCAAAACTGTGGAGATCGTGAGGATGTTGCATTCGAAGCCGATGCCCTTAAATCTGGAAAATGTGACGGTTGTGATCATAAAAATGACAATGATGTTCCAATCACTGCTGATGTCAGAATCTGTGAAAATATCAGTGGCGATGTTCCAGACATTACTGATATTGATATTTTGGGAAATCCTGCTGGTGATGTTCCAGTAGCCACTGATGTCCATAACGCAGACAGTGATGATGACGATGATGAAGGTAATGCTGACCCAGCAGCTCAAGTTGCACCCGACTTTAGAAACCCGGGTGGCGAACACAACAACCGCCTTGAAGTTGACAACGTCAGATATCCCACATTCTCTGAAATACTGAAGCTTGTTTTGGCTGCATATTGCATTGTTTCTCTTCTGGTGTTTAGCTTTCATGGGGCTTACTTCAGAGGCGCTGGCAGATACATCTGACTTGTTCGTTAGGTTATCACCACAGCTGTGGAACTTCCAGAGGTTTCGTGTGGCCTACATAATCTTGAATGGTGGGGTGAGATTTACATACGGTGCTTATCTAGGGGTACCTACATTGTTTCTAGTGAAAATAAGATCGAGCCTTATATTAATTTTTGCTTTAAAATACACTAGGTTTTATTTCACATTCTGCGTTTATTTAAATATAGTCATATAATCTTCTTCTGGAGCATCGTCATAATTCTCAAAATCCTGAATTCCGGCCCGCATTTCTGAAGACCTGAATTCCGGCCCGCATTTCCGAAGACCTGAATTAAGGCCCGCATTTCTCGAGACCTGAATTCCATCCAGCCTGTATTTCTTGAGACTCCATTTTCTTTAGAACCACTGGCTCCATTCTCTCATGCACAGCCATAAAGCTTTCCTTAAATGATCATTTCTTGCCCGTGTAAACTGCTGGTCGTGCATTGGTAACACAGCTGTCAATGTTTGTATCCGCTGAATTCTTCACTCAAGTCCCGACCTCCTGCAAACTAGGGTTAGCAACAAAGTTTCAACGCTTACTTCTATCCATTTCTTTTTCATTAGCTCTAGCTGACAATCTTAACTGTGACTTATTTGCAGACGCATGTACAGTCTATACGAGTGCTCAAACGTGTGATAATATAGAGTCATCTTTACAACATGAATTAAACAATGTAGTTTCCTGCAGCTATGCAAACTACACGCAAATTAGTATTGGTAAAACTAAATATATGTTCACAAAACTATATCATCTTCACAAAATACTCTTAAATTTTACATCAGTAACAACGCAGTAGAATGTGAAACAGCACAAAGATTTAGGCCTAATTACTGATATAAATTTAACTTTCTGTTCTCATGTACAAGTTCTAGTGAAACAAACAGCCAAACAACTGTATACAAAAATGTGATACAGCTTTCCCCCCCCCCCCCCCCCCCAAAAAAAAAAAAAAAGTTGCTTGATGAAATCACCAGAAGGATATTCTATAACTCCCAAATTCAGACGTATCTAGAGTACTGCTCCACAATATGGGATGACTGTCCAAGTTTAGTCATGAAACTGCTTAAAACACTTCTTAAAAGAGCTGTAGGCTTAGTCAAACCAAAAGAGTCTGGTCAAACCAAAAGCTAACTGATAATACAAAAATGAAGGTTTATGAGTCTTGTGCCCTGAGCACATTACTGTACGGCTGCGAATCCTGGACTCTATGCTCCACAGGAAAAAAAGACTGAATACCTTCCATAGGCGCTGTCTGAGACGCATCCTTGGTATATTATGGCTTGACCTTGTCTCCAACGAATGTGTGCTGACAAGAGCAAAAATACCATCAATGTACTGTATACTGAAGCAAAGACGTCTGCTCTGGCTGGGACATGTCTCCCGCATGGAGGATGGTCGTATTCCAAAAGATCTCCTATATGGTGAATTGGTAACTGGGAATAGACCTACAGGAAGGCCAAGGCTGCGCTATAAAGATGTATGCAAACGTGATCTAATAGATACCAACATAGGCACAGAGACATGGGAAAAATCAGCTGCAGATCGACTACTATGGAGACAGAAAGTGAAAGATGGACTGTCACATTTTGAAAGAAACCGAACACAACGAGCTGTGGAGAGGAGGCACCGGAGAGTAAAACTGCCTCACAACGAGGGAGTATCTGCTTTTGTGTGTATCCTGTGTGGCAAAGACTGCCATTCCCGCATCGGACTTTACAGTCACAGCAGATGCTGTTCCCAAAGCCAGCGGCACATCTCCATAGTCCCCCGGGACTGACGGATGCCATTATAGGCTTAGTCAATTATAAACATAAAAGAGACAGTTCGAATAAATATAAAGATCTTAAGTTATCACCACTCCATAAACATCTTTTTTCAATAAAGTCAAAAATTATGAAGTAAATTTTATCAAAAAATACTCCAGATTACCTTAGGCCATTCATTACATGTAATGGGTGATATATTAAACGCCTAAACATATTACACAGCCTTAAACCTACAAAACAAGCTTACGTACTCTGCAGCTCATCTGTTTAACCAACTTCCACAATCAATCAAAAACATCAGCAAACCCTGTAAATACACATGGAAGCTATTTGAATATTATCTTGTTACAGACCACATGCCCCCCTTGAAAATAATAGTTTCCAAAGCATATTTTTGATTTCACCAAGATTTATTACACTTAGCAATTATAACTGTTGGATTTCCTCCAAGATTTATTATACTTAGCATTATTATTATTTGATTTCCATCAAGATTTATTTTACTTACAATTATTATTGTTTGATTTCCATCAAGATTATTATACTTAGCAATATAATTGTTTGATTTCCATCAAGATTTATTATACTTAGCAATTATAATTGTTTGATTTCCACCAAGATTTATAATACTTAGCATTACAATTGTTTGATTTCCATCAAGATTTTTTTTACTTAGAATTATAATTGTTTGATTTCTATCAAGATTATTATACTTAGCATTATAATTGTTTGATTTCCATCAAGATATATTATACTTAACATTATAATTGTTTGATTTCCATCAAGATTTATTATACTTAGCATTATAATTGTTTGATTTCACCAAGATTTATTATACTTAGCATTATAATTGTTTGATTTCTATCAAGACTGATAATACTTAGCATTATAATTGTTTGATTTCTTTCAAGACATAATTATAATACTTAGCATTATAAGAGTTTTTAAAATGTACGTATACTTCGAGTATGTTGTAAACTAAGATGTTGTTTATGATGATTTTTATTATTGTCTGCAAAAAAGATGTGTGAATGGAATATTGCATGCAGGGAGTGAGGCCACAGGGGCAGATGCAAGATGGGCCGCTTTGACCAATTCCTAGTCCTTCGAAAATACAGTCGGTACGTTCGTTCAGTCGTTCATTTTTTCTGTCTGACTGTTTCTGTTTGTCTCACTCTCTAGTTTCTTTTTCTCTATCAAATTCTCCCTCCCCCTCTCTCTCTCTCTTTCTCTCTCTCTCTCTCTCTCTCTCTCTCTCTCTCTCTCTCTCTCTCTCTCTCTCTCTCTCTCTCTCTCTCTGTGTGTGTGTCTTTCTCTCACTCTTTTCCCTCTGTCTGTTTTGGGATCCCACGCAAACATACAGAAAACTTCCTTACAACATTTTCAGTGTCCTGTAGCTTCCCAAATAATCTGGTAAATGGTTGTATTTTTCAAAGAATAACATTCCTTTGTCCATAGAGGTAACTTGTCAAAATCTTTATTTTTGATGGTAGACATGAAGATGTGATTCTTATATATATATATAATATATATATATATATATATATATATATATATATATATATATATATAGAGACACATACACATGAATATTGCGAGTCCTATAAAGATTTGAATTAATAAATATTAAAATATGCTGATCTAGGTGAAGTGATTCAGTAAATCATCTTTTAAGACGTGACTGTATGAATGTGTATTTATCATGATCTGAGTACAGTTGTGACTATAAATATTTATATATTCTCGAGTCATTGTAAGAGGAGCATCATTAAGTGTCTCCCTGGTTGGCGTAGGTGATCATGCCTTCCCACAAAGAGAAAATATTGGGGTGGGAGGAAAAGGGTGTTTAAAGAGGACAGACTCAGCTCCTTTATATATTTTCTTTAACGAAGTAGGTTTGGGGGATGGGTGGGGGGGGGGGGGGGCAGACTAGGAGCAAGGGGCTAGAGTGCCCAGGTTTCCCTGCCACTAACAGTTACATGTGGTCTTAGTAAACAGAGAATTTTATCAGACACTCATTGCAGTCAGCCAGTTCATTCAGTTGGTCAGACAATAAAGCAGTGAATGAATCAGAAAGCCTCTGAGGTAGCTCAGTGGCAAAAACATCATGTAATTGAAGTTCCAACTTGAAAGCAGACGGGCTACTCCATAATCACTTCGTTCTTGTGACAACGAAAGCGACAAAGATTGTCCATTACTGTCCCTTGTAAAAAAAAACAATGACACAGAATGCTCTCAGCAAAGCCAATAGCATACACAAATATTAAATCTGTGAGGCAGCCACCAGAAGTGCCAACACAAACAGCCCATCACTAGAAATGCAGTTCATCATCTATAGAGGCAGCAGTTACAACAGAAACATAATTTTATAGCTTGCACTTTTATTGTAAAACATACTATTTCATTAGTAGCGCACATACTTGGCTGCAACGTCTATATCATCCATGACAAAAATAACATAGAAACAACAAGCACTAGAAAACATCCTGACAAAGAAACCCCACTGTTTCTACCAGATAAGGGACAGTTGCATGCTGGTTCTGCTTTCCTGCCAGTTAGTGCCAGAATTCTCACTGGTCCTCCGCTGCCATCAAACAGTTTAATAACGCCCACAAATATAGTGGATCCACTGGGTGGAATTTTGTCCAGGTTATTGACGTTTTCTAAGCCTATTATGCCAGCTTTTGCCATTCTCTGATGAGTATCAAATGTTTTTGATTGGCCATAATCTGTTGAAGGTGTGTCTACTCCGATCATGCTTATATTTCGATACTGAATTAACCAATCGATCGCATCAGGGTGGAAACCTGAAAAAAAAAATAAGAAGAAACTGGTTTGATTAAGTGTTAACAGGCCAAGAGAGAGAGAGAGAGAGAGAGAGAGAGAGAGAGAGAGAGAGAAAGAGACAGACAGACAGACAGACAGACAGACAGACAGACAGACAGACAGACAGACAGACAGACAGACAGACAGACAGACAGACAGACAGACAGACAGACAGACAGACAGACAGACGGACGGACACACAGACAGACAGACAGACAGACAGACAGACAGAGATTAGGGTCAGGTATGTACATTTTCTCAGCTGTCACCAACAACGCATGGTGTGTTGCTTGACACTAATGAGTAAAATATAGATCTGGTATTATGGGTATATCTTCAAGAAAAATGTCTGCACTGCTGGGAAGTGGATATACAATAATAAGTTTACATGTGTTGTTGATCTAAGGAGGTCGACAGATAGAAGGACACTAGAAAACATAAAAATCGAAAGCTATAGTTACCATGTCAGGAATTGAACCTGTCACCTTCATGCGGCAAGGGCGTCTCGCTGCAGGAACACCTGACTAACTAGGCACCATCCAAAAAGGTGTCTTCATTAGCCATGTTTAGCATACAGTTTGAACCCGACTGATAGACTGACTGACCGATTAATGGAAGCTGAACTCCACTAGGACCGCACACTCGCAGTCAATGGCACCCAATTTTTAGTTATTTTAAAGCCCCACCTTGTCTGTCGTCGAGAGCCCTAAATATAACCTACGGTTTGAATAGGGTTTGTGGGACTTGTGTCTGGGCGATTCTCATCCGTATTGTGGCACTTTGTGTCACCAGGTGTTTATCGCTTGTGTGATGTCCTGGTGGGGTAAAAGTACTACTACTACTACTGCTGAATAGTCAGCTTTTGGTACCACTGTTGGAACTAACTACTAACAACAAAGTCGTCTCCATGGGGATGCTGCAATTTTTCGTTATTTGAAGCCCCACCCTGGCTTTTGCCGGGAGCCCTGAATATAGCTGGGCCATAAATAAAACCTAACGGCTGAAATGGGTTTCTGGGGCCTCTTCATGGGTGATCCTCATCCGCATGGTGGCATATTGTGTCACCATGTGTTTATTGCTTGTGTAATATCCTGGTGGGTTACAACAAGAGAGAGAGAGAGAGAGAGAGAGAGAGAGAGAGAGAGAGAGAAAGAGAGAGAGACAGACAGACAGACAGACAGACAGACAGACAGACAGACAGACAGACAGACAGACAGACAGACAGACAGACAGACAGACAGACAGACAGACAGACAGACAGACAGACAGACAGACAGACAGACAGACAGACAGACAGACAGACAGACAGAGTTGGATCTAACGCAAGACAAATCATCTGTAGTTGGGATTGAACCCAGCACCCCAGCATTTCAAAGCGCGTTTACAGCACCTAAGTCACAGAAGCTGATGTCTAGCGTATAACAATCATGTAAACAAATGATCTGATTGGTCCATTCAGTTGTACTGTAGTACTGAACGTGAAAAAGATGGGAAACCCTTAAGGCCACAGAAACAGTATATATAATAAACTAATAGACCTGTTTTGATCAGCACTCACTGAAAGAAGAAGAAGAAGAAAGATAAAGAACATACAATCTGACAGACAAAAGCAGAAGAGGCTCCTACAATCTTAGTACACCTGCATACCTTTATTTTTCTTCTTTGGGTTCACCAGCTGTAAACTCCGGTGGAAAGTTCTAGTTGTTCTTCCACCTCTTGATTTTAGTCTTGTTCCAGAACCTGAGTGTTGTGTGCACATCCATTTTATACATGTGGCTTATTTGTATGCAGACTGTTGGTTCCTTACCTGTCAGGCAGATGCACTCTGACTTAAATCTTAGTGTTGCTAAAACACTAAACATTCTCACATTCCACAAGGACTAAAACACTAAACATTCTCCCATTCCACAAGGACTAAAACACTAAACATTCTCACATTCCACAAGGACTAAAACACTTAACATTTAACCTGACACAGACTCTCCCATTCCACAAGGACTAAATCACTAAAGATATAAATCCACAATGACTCTCTCATTCCATTGAGAATGAGAACGGCTAAAATAATTATTGGTAAAAAAAATAACAGTAAAAAATTTAGTAACTGGTACCTGGGCAAAACAGAAAGACTACAATTTTTGACAAAGACCTTAAAGAGAACTGCAGAGACCTAACTTCACACAGTCAAGAGGTAATGGTAAGACTTTCAGATGGAATAGATAAGCTGATGATAAAGTAAATGAAATGTTCTTTACCTTCTGGTTAAAAAATGCGCTAGAGGAGATACATTGAGGAAGAAGGCGCACGAGAAAGGCGGTGTTACCAATAGGTAGATAACTGGAAGAGATGAACTGAGAGAAACGTTTGTGAAATAAGACACTGGACCAGGGTTACTGAAGATTCAATACGCCTCGTGTCTGCAGAACAGATGTTGATGATGATAATGTTGATGACCACAATGATACTGACGATGAGGAGAAGGATGGGGATGGGAAGGAGGAGGAAAATAACATTATTCAAACAATTTGACCCTAGGAGAAAAAAAATAATAAGTAACTACTTGAGCCTGTAGTCTGGGTTTTCAACAACACAGTCAATCACGTTGATAACGACGCCATAGCCAACCAATCGTTCGGCGGGGATTTCATGTACACGCCATTTGCCTTCTGCAAAGTGAGCGGGAGCGTCCAGATGAGTTCCTCCATGTTCACTGGTTTCAAACTTGTTAGATTCATACCTGAAAGTAGGAACAAAGACCTTCACAGTTTAAAAAAAAGCAGGGATATTTTAATTTAAGACAACCCCAGTTTGAGAACGCCCCACAGCATGTTGGGCGTGGGGTGGGTAATAGGTTAAATTAGTCGCTATTAATTAAACCTGCCCTAACTCTCCAACCCCCCCCCCCCCCCCCCCCCCAATAATATGGGACTGTCAAGGGGAATCCCTAGGAATTTCTAAAGAAATTTTGCAGCCAACGAGATGGGGTCGTCAAAAATTTAAATACCATACCAAAATGGGCCCAGTCCGATGTGTCCACGGGGCGAAAGGGCCGTTTACTGAATTTCCAAATAACCATTTAAGGGAGACAACCATTCACTTATAAGCCATAGAAATAAATTAGGCATTATATCTCTTGGTATAAAAGGAAAGTGTGTTAATGGGGGTGGGGGCGGGGAGGGAAGCGGGTGAAAAAAAAGGGGGGGGGGGTGTTTTGTATCCGCTTTTGTATTATAAAGGACACTGCTGGAAAATAAATGATGAATTAGTGAAGAAATTGGCACAATAGAGATATGGTTTATAAAAAATCTCTCGGGAGTCTTAACTTCATGTCAAACAGGACACCTCATGATTGCCGTAATTCTGCGACCTTGTCAGCATCGAACTACAGGTTACACCTGGCTAGTGTGGCCTTTAGATGTGCCCTAATTATAACTTCTTTGGGGAGGAACGGGGTATCTGGGATCTGCCCTGTAAGTCTGCCATCCAGATTGATGGCGTCTTCTTCTTCGTTTTTTGCGTTCACCAGTTGTAAAGCTGGAAAGTTCTGGTTGTTCGTCCACTTCTGGGGTGCTGTCCTGTTGTAAAACCTGAGTTTTGCATGCGTATTTATTTTACAGATCTGGCCCATTTGTTTGCAGACTGTTGGTTTCTTGCCTCTCGGGCAGATGCACTCTGACTTTGAACCCATGAAAACGTAGGGTGGAGGAGGAGAAGGGGGTGGGACCTTTACCCACGCCTTGAAATGTTCTGCCAATTAAAGGGAGTGGGGTCAATAGACTTAATCCCACTTTAAGAGTATAATAATAATAATAATAATGTGCTGAATGCCAAAAATATATAACAAAATATGTTTAATAATAAAGAATGTGCAAACAAATACTATAAAGAGAATATGTATACTTAGACGAAGAGAGCCTAATATAATGTTATGGTTGGGGATTGCTCTGTAAATGCCTCAGATGCTGTATATGTTTATTTGACTCTGGAGTGATGCACCTGATGAGATACAACGAAATATGCCATGTAATCAATTTTGCAGTATATTTTATGTGCCCGCATTATTTATAATTACAAATGCAAAACATTACTGCACATTTATAAATACAACAACAAATGAAGGACGTGGCTGACGGTGGCTAGTTACTTACCAATATCCCCCTGGAGTTGGTCCTCTGTTTAATATAGTGAACAGGAATCCTGGATTGCCAGGCCAGTACACGGTATCAGCGTTCAGCTCGTGTGTTAGGTCCACAACTGAAAATTCCTGGCTGCCAGAGCCCACGATAATACTCAGACCCAGGATCAGAATGGAGCAACAAGTGAGAGTCATCGCTGCAGCCATTTCTCTCGTACATCTGCAACAGCTGAGATACCTGGTTGTTTGTGAGTTGCTCGCAGTACGCCAATACCCTTGATCCCCCTTCAAGCGCTGGGCTCCATCAATCCCCATTTCACGCTGTGCTGAACAAAACTGAAATGCTACACGATCATTGTATAGCAGCGCGCGGGATCAGGGAATAACTGGCTCTTTTCAAGTTAGAAAACACCTGTTTCAATCGCAGAGATAACACAGACTGTGTGTTTGTTGTTGTCTGTGGATTACTAAGTCAGTAGTTCTCAAATTCTCAAACACCTGTCTCAGTCGTAGACTTGGTACAAACTGGTGTCTGTAGATTACAATATCGGCGGTTCCCAGACACCTGTTTCGGTCGTAAAAATAAAACAGACTGTATTTGTTGTCGTCTGTGAATTACTATATCAGCGGTTCTTAAACAACTGTCCCGGTCGTAGAGATATTACAAACTGTTGTCTGTAGATTACGATATCGGCGGTTCCCAAACACCTGTTTCAATCGTAGATATATATACAAATGTTTCTCTAGATTAATATATAGAGGCAGTTCGTAAACACCTGTTTGTGTCATAAAGACAGTTTAGACTGTAGACTTGCTATCGCCTCTAGATCACTATATCATCGGTTCGTAAACACCTGTTTCAGTCATAAAGACAGTTTAGACTGTGGGTTTGCTATCGCCTCTAGATCACTATGTTAGCGGTTCGTAAACACCTGTTTCTGTCATAAAGACAGTTTAGACTGTGGGTTTGCTATCGCCTCTAGATCACTATGTCAGCAGTTCGTAAACACCTGTTTCTGTCATAAATAAAGACACTTCAGACTGTGGGTTTGCTGTCGCCTCTAGATCACTATGTCAGCGGTTCTTAAACACCTGAGTCGTAGAGACAGTATAGACAGTGTGCTTGTTGTTGTGTGTAGATAACTTTATCAGTAGTTCTCACATTTTCCTTTCATTTGCCAATGTTTTTTTTTTTTTAAATTATATTATCAACTTTTTGTTCCTTCTTAAACTTTTTAAAACTTGATTGTTTTTGTTTTCACAAAATGACATCTATTCTTCTGTATCTCCCCAATTTCCAGAGACTCAGTCCGATTTTCTAATTGCTTGTTCATTGTCTAGATTACTGCCTCAAACCATATAGCATTCATAGCATTTGACACTTTTCATTGTTAATGGGTTTTTTTTAAATCTCTTTGGTTGTTATTAATAATTTTCGTATCTTGTTGTAGATATTTGTGTACTTTCCTATTCTCTTTTTAATTTCTATTTTACTTTTTTCGTCATCTATTAATATATTTCCAAGAAACATGTTACTTGTTCTAGCTTCTTTCTGTTTATTGTTATGTTTACCGCTGGCTGCTACTTTCCATTATTAATGTCCCATTGTTTTGTAAAGTCTGTTTTTAATGACTATCTGAACCATAGTATGCAATAGGCATGTTTACTTGCTCCACTAGTTCCAGTAACGCCTGTTCCCTTTCTGCTAGTAACATTGTTTTATAAGCATATAATTTTATTTCACTATTCAGTCCAGGTAGTTTGTGTAACATGTTTCCTGTGTATACGTTGAAAATGCTTGGAGAAAGCACAAATGTGTGTCTTAACGTGGACAACAAAATACAGCCACACTATATGTGGAGATTGGATAAAAGTCCTTACACTTTAGTAAAATGAATTATCTCCTAAACAAACGGATCACTTAGTTAAACTTAAAAATCCATGGTAAGATGTTAGGAACAAGAAGACACTGTGAGCTTAAATATTTGCAATGAAAAATGTAATGTTTTATGCTACATTGTATGTTGATGCAGATGTAAACGACATATAACAGGCCCTCAATTGTGCAGTGTATTGTTTGTGGCATTGTTGTTTCGGATCTCCCCGGTCTCGGGAAAAACGCATCTAGACGACGATTCGTTTGCTAACTTTGTGAAACTCTGTAACATCTTACGTCTGAAGTTGAAGGAACTCAAACTGCCGAGGGAGACCATTAATTTTATATGTCTCTCTGTCGTGGAGCGAACAGCCAACCCTATACGATGGACGAGTCGTGACTCTGACTTCCCTAAGCGGGCATTTCACATTTTAAACTTAAACCCGTCCGGAGGGGTATATAGTCCCTTATATTGATATATACCTTTATCTGGTGAAATAATCATTTCTAGACCCTCTAGTTGTTTTGAAAAGTCTAAATTTTCAAACTTGCAAATGTGGGCTGAGTATTTCTGGTGTTTAATTCAAATATTCCTGTAAGCCTGTTTACTGCTTGGGCTGATGCCCAAGGAGTAAACAGGCTTACAGGAATATTTATACAGGGACTTCTTTCCTAGAGACGCTAGCGGGGGTTTTCAGCGGGATTCTTTAGCCTGATCTCTAAAGTGTCAAGACGTGTATACAGTCTATGAAAAAAATTGGCGCATTCAAAGAACCAGCTTTATCGTTGAAGAATTCCTAGCTTGGGATGATACCTCCTTAGAGATCAGGTAGACGAATCACAGTCAAGCCAACAACCACCAACCAATACCATTCTGGGCACCAAGCATACCCAAAAGTCCTACCTATTGTTGCCACTACCTCAACATGGCAAGAGCTTGTTTGTGAGTTCCAGTACTTGTGGACAATTGCAGACACCTATGTCATCAATCCAGAGAACCAGTCTTCAAGAGCTTTGTTGGGCTCTTATGCAGTTCCCGTGTCCTCACCTGTGAGATAGTCAGTGGGCACCACAGTCTTCAAGAGCTTTGTTGGGCTCCTATGCAGTTTCTGTGTCCTCACTTGTGAGACAGTCAGCTTGTACCAGATCAAATCGAGGCATAGCTACCTACTGAGTCAACTACAGTCGAATCCCCATGGACTGAGGGAAGCATTGACCTACGAACTGGTATAAGTGATCTCTTATTCATATACATACTCTCTTCCCACAGCTCCTTGTGATTCCTATGATGAACTCATGTAATATCCAAGAACTACATCTGGCTGCTTCAACATCTGGGTTGTGTCATTGACTCATGAACTCCATTCACTGAACATTTTCGATGATCTATTCATTATTATATGTATATATATATTGTGCTTATTACATGCAGAAATTTTAAAGCTGACTTTGGTGTCCCTGTTTCACCATTCTAACAGTCTAGCTTTTATGGTTGTGTGAGTAATAAGTGTAATCTGTGTTAACATGGCTATGATAGTATACTATCATAACCTGGGGGCTACCTTTTTATAGTAGTGGGGGTGTCCAGCCAAGTGTGCCTAGGAATAATATATATTTTATAGTGCCAAAGCTTGAGTTGCCCTACTCCTGAAATAAGTTGATCATATATTAGCCACGGGATATCAGACCAATGCGAGCCAACGTCCTAAAATTATTATTTCAGAGTGCTGTTGGTTCTTAAGGAGAAATCCTTAAATCAGGCACGTGACATGAGCGGTATATGACAGAACACACAGACCCGCAAAAAATCTGGGCGCTCGTCCGGGATTGTTCGTGTACTCTGTTCAATCTTTAAAGTTGCTGGTGATCTTGGTCAGGAGGTTGTTCAGTTTTTGTATTTTGTTGTTAACACAGTTGTGACCACTCTGAGTCAGTTCTTAGAATGTGCTCTTGTGAGTGATTTGTGACCCAGTTTGTGGTGTTTTATGGTGTTTCCGTATATTGGGTTAGGCACAACCTTGGTGGGTGGTGATAAATTAATCTATTTTTTATTATATTTAAATTGTTGGTGACAATATATTTTGTTTGTGGACTGTTAGACTGACAAGACAGCATGTCGCAGTAAAAAATTTCAATACATGAATTGAAGGACATGGCTGTCCAGATGGGATTGCAGGGTAAGGAAATGACCGAGTGGATCAAAACCACGAAACGTGAAATGAGGATGGAAGCCCGTGAGGCAGAAAGACTCAGGATTGAATCTGAGATGATGCAGGAAACCGAAAGACTCCGGATAGAATCTAAGAGGATGCAGTAAACCGAACGACTCAGAATGGAATATGAGAGACTCCGACGAGTCTGAGAGGGAGGCAGAAAGAATGAGATTGGAACCGGAGGTAAGATAAAGGGAATTGGAACTTCAGGCACAGAGAGAGTGTAATCGACCCAGATCTCCCACGCCAGATATTGATGGTGCATCAACGCACAGTAGCTCAGCTCAAGTGATGAACTTTCCTATGCCAGTCTTCGACCCGAAGGCTGAGAACATTGAACAGTACCTAGACCGATTTGGCAAATTGGCGTCTTTGTTCAATTTAGAAAGGAATATGTACACGTTGAAGTTGGCTCATGGTTTGCGGGGTGAGGCATACGAGATTTATCAGCGGATGCCCGCCGGTACACAGACTGATTATGATGCACTGTGTCAGGCTTTGCTGAAACGTTTCGAACTAAATGCTGCGACATACAGACAGAAGTTCCGAAATGAGAGAAAGTTGACAGGGGAGAACTATCCCCAGTTCGCCAGTCGCCTTCAGGGATATTTGACTAGGCGGAGGGAAATGTCTGGATACTCCTCTTCTTTTGAAGATTTACAGGAGATAGTCCTAACGGAACAACTCCGAGAGACATTACCTCGCCCTATGCAAACGTTCTTGACGGAGAATGGTGCTGACCGACTGAGTGAGATTCTTACGTATGCTGAGAGGTATGAAATGGCACATAAAGAGGTTTGTACAGGAAGGAAACCCAAGGCCCAGGGCCAAGGGAAGAATGGTGGTAATGGTCATAAAACCCATCCAAATGAATCCCCTAAACACCTTGCTATAGAATTTCTTTACAACAAACAACGACAACAAAAAGAGTCGAGACAGTAGAGCGACTAGACATTTGCTTGCTGGCTGAAAGACACTGAGTTTGAGCCGCGTCGAGCCAATAGTTCATATTTGTCATGGTCACCCATATCGACATAGTCTACGATGGATACTGAGAAATTCCAAGGAAATAAATGTGGTCTATTGGGGTTGTTGTTTGTCCATGTAACATCAGAAGCTCGACCACAGCGATGCTCTTTCATGTCAACTGTTCTGATAAATCATTGGAGCAGAAGTTCAGTTGACATAGTGTATTGCTTCGTGCAACGACGTGGTCCGTTAGAGAAACAAATACAAGTCTCAGACTTCAGTTCAAATATGAAGCTTCTAACCCGCCAGGTTTAGCTTTTTCCGGTGACGTCTTCAATCATTGCAAAAGATTTGTTCATGCACTAATTGTATATCTCGTTATTCCGACAGTCTTAGCAGGCTACTATATTTTCCCAGGGCCTTTCTTAATAGCTTTGTCCCTTATACACAACTTAGTTAAGAATTGATGTCATGGCACCAAGTACATTCCCATAAACACTCAGTTCGCATCTTCAACAGCCAGCTCAGAGCTCCAGTTCCGATGGTGCAAGGAGCAGTCTATGACTGTCTTTTTCCTGAGTGCTGAGTATCAACCAGGGTTGCCAGATAATTAAAAAAAAAACCCACTTCTTTTTATGCCAAACCATTACCCAGAATATGCAAGAAAATGCCAAATAAAGTATAACAGTGTACTCACTTCACATCAAAAGCCCTAGATCGAATTCTTCACTGTCATCCCCACTGGAACCAGTGGAAGATATGGGTAAACCTTTTCGGATGTAAAATCTTGAAGCATTTTCTCAGATGGAATGAAGTCTTTGCAACTCATCTATAATGATGGCATATTTCTTGTTCCGAAAATCATCCCTAAGTGCAGGCGATATATTTTTTATTAGGCATGAACATTTAGTTATATGCAACTGTATGTGCTCCAATGTACTTCCCCTACCATGAGCTCTCATGATTTCACTTAGATGATCAAAAATGCTTGTTGCACAATGGCACGTGATGCCTACAGCAAGTTGCAACTTTGCTGCCTTTAACTTTATCATTACTTTGCCTAGGAGTTATTGTTGTAGTAAGCTGTGACTGGCTTTTTGACGGAGTTTTCATCCTGTGTTTTTTGTGTGTGTGGATTTTTCATGATTTTATATGCTACTAATTCTTGGTGCAACAGTGCATTGACACAGTTTACAATATGCTGTCTCTGATCCGTCTGAAGATCTTTTGAGCCGTGGGTATGTTTTCTTCCAGTTACTATTACACTTGCGATGTCATAAGATGCTTTCAAATTCTTTGGATGACGTGGCCATTGGTAAAAGTAATAACATCCATCACAGATAGAACTAGGTCTATATCCTCTCTATTTTCTGTCCTCGAGTAGTTCTGATATGTCTGAATCGCCTGGTATCAGTGTGGGTTTTGGTTTTATATCCCGCATTTTTTCTAGTATGTTAACATAAATTACAGAGGGCCTTGGTTTATCCAAGTCACGATCCGTTTAGGAAGACAACAAATACAATAAGAAATGGCGCAAATCTCCATTAGTCCGTTCCACGACATCACAACAAAGTCAAACTTGAATAAAGTCAAACAGAAATAAAGTCAAACTGAAAAAAAAAAAAAAAGATGTTGACTGTAGGTCTAGAGTGCTTTTAGTAAATCTGCGTGTTTCTAACGGAGGAACCATGGGAAAAAATTTGAGCACATCTTGATAAGAAGAGCCAGGAAAAAAAAAAAAATTTGCCAAAATATGCCAGTTCATTATCTTTTGCCAGTTAAATTTCAAATATGCAAAATTTGTGGAATCTGCCATCAAAAATGCCAATATGGCAACCCAGGTATCTGACCAGATATCCTGGTCTTTCCCTGCCGCATCATTCTTTTTAGGCCACGGTGAGCTGTTTGTGCATCTACACTGTTTACGTGCTCCGAAAGGGCCTTGACAACATCTAGCTTGTACTGCAATTTACCACCAAGTTGTAGAGAATCAGCAAATCTGCCTCCCTATTCGTTTTCCCAACACACCTGGATACACTGGAGAAAATATCCAGAGGACGCTAACAACCCAGGGTCTCTAAAACGTTGTCTGCCATTCGACACGAAGCATGCCAAATTCCAAGAAACCGTTGTTTGTGTGAAACCAGAAATTTAACTTCTTACTCTCAGAGAGTAGTATCAGTTGAAGCCAGAACAAGAGTCAACATAATACACACAGACTGGGTGGGATAAGCCCTGAGATGGGGGTAATATTTTCTCATGGGTTTTGAGTATTTCAGTAGCATGAACATTCTGAAGATAGGCGGTTTCACAACTAAATACCAGTCAATATCATAGATTCTATCGTACAGCTGCAATCATTGAAGAAGATATGAAACTATCTTTCAGGACGTAATTAATCAAGAAAACCCTCTTATTCTTATTTACCAAAACAACCAACCAGATATCATAATCATAATTGTCATCAATCAGCGTTATTTTATTTCACTGAGATAGATGTCTTTAAATTTGTTGACACTGCAGAAAGTTTAATTTTTGTTATTCAGTCAGTCAGTCAGGAGCATGTACTTTGTAGAACCTTGTTCCTATAACAGCTTCTCAATCGCAAGCAAGATGTCCCGCGTCCAAAACACCCATCTGGAGATCATCCGCCACATCCTGCACCTATCTTCTCTTTGATCTCCCTCTTCCTCTCTTCCCATGCATATACCCCTCAGTTATTGTTCTCTATAAACATTTTTGTTATTACAATAATATATTAACTTTTTAAAAATCCAGACACTGTTTGGCAGTGGGAGTCTACGTGTCGCAATTGTCTTTTGCTCCTAGTGTATTTTTTAAAGCGCCTGTTAGGTCTTTTCATAGCATATTTAAAAAAAAAATAGTTGCCCTAAATAAATTGTGTGTCCTGTTTATCTACAGTATTTTGTGCCCATCCATTTTTTTTTTCTGATCGATCACTGCTTCTTCTTCAAACCACAACTGCTTTCCGGATTTTTTCCACCTCAATGCTGCGATTAATTTGGGCAAAGTATTGCCTTTTTAGAAATGTGATGCGATCTATGAGTCAGTTCTTTTCACTGTTCAGATGTTGATGAACGTTAGTATTTTTCGTTTTCTGTCCAAAAATATTCTAAGAAATTTTTCTAAGGTAAGATTTAATTTAAAAATCCCACTGTTGTAAATATAGTATTAGTAGTAAGTCTGACACATGGTTAACTATTCTGTACGGATCAGCAGTAAAACTAGAACCAGTTTACAAACCGAAACGAAACAAACGTGGCGGGATTTGTAAACATTTGTTTGTCTTTTATCTGTAGAGAGTGTTTTGTGAAACTTTCCTAGTCATGGAGTTTGTTAGCAGAACAAGAACAAAAGGCAGGACAGGCGATATCAAGAAGGTGATAGACGATCGGTATCCTCATCGTCTTCAACTTTATACACATCCTCCTACAGATACTATTTCACTGCAAGAATTTGAGGAGTTGGCCGTCGAGAGGTTAAAAGGTAAGTTCCGAGTTCGGTGTTCATACTATGAGTACTAAGTATAACTTGACTGTAACTATACTATTAAGTATTATTAATATTAAATGTACCAACCTATGCTATGCCGTATTTACTATCTTAATCCTTAATTGCACGTACACACAAATTATAACAAATGATCAATAATGTATTTAATTTAATTGATAAATTAACATACGAGGGATACGCCAAAATCAACCCCTGACAGATAAGCTTGTAACAAATTTTTTTTTTTTTAAAGACAATATCTAAATACATACAAGAGTATATGTACTATATGTAATGGGCCAGGGGTTCTTTGACAAAACTGAAACTGTGAGTCAGTAGAACCCTAAATTAAACTTTAAACATACAGCTGAATGAGTCTGGCCTGAAACAAGTTAGGGAATTTGGCTGTCTTCCGAATAACGGTCCCAAATTACCGAGGCAGAAAATATACCCTAACAGAGCCTCAGTCACGTGTCAATTGCACACTTCTGGGGACTAGACCGCCACCGCCGAATTGCATACTTCGGGGGATTATACCGCCACTGTCGAGAGTATCCTGCACGCTGCTCACGCGGCGTGGATTGGGACTAAACTAGATGGCTGGGACTCACGAGCAAATAAAATGAAGGCAGCTGTAGGAAATGCAGTAGCTGCTGTTCGTGAGTCAGCCATCTAGATTAGCCCCAATCCACGCGGCGTGAGGGATACTCTCGGCGGTGGCGCAAGTCGCCAGAAGTGTGCAATTTAAGTTGCCAGAAGTGCGTAATTGACACGTGACTGAGGCTCTGTTAGGGTATATTTTCTGCCTCGATAATTTGGGACCGTTATTCGGAAGATACTCGGGAATTTATATATCTAGGAAGTGTGATCACGGAAGTTGGCAGAATCGACAGAGAAATAGAAACCAGATGTCAGAAAGCAAGTGCACATATACCAGTTGTCATCATTTATTAAGACATCTAAACATAACTATGAGTGCAGAGAGACAGATTATAAATAGCATATTCATTCCAATATTGAGCCACCAGTGCCAAACATGGACACTATCTAAAGCCTATTTGCGCAAAATCCCCACCTGCGAGGTGAGATGTCTGAAAAAAGCCACCAACCTAAACATCCAAGATCAAGTGAATAATGATACTGTCAGACAGATTGTGTGAACAACACCATGTACTAGATCCATCAAGACACAACAGATCAAGTAGTTTTGCCATCTTGTTAGATTGCAGCAACATTAAATATCATCACAAACACATTTTGCTCTTAATAGCATGATAATCACCAGTGCCATCCAGGGTGCACTAGATCATAATTTACACCCCCCCCCCCTCCATCCCCCCCCCCCTCCCCCGCTTTATTGCAGAAGTGGTTTGTGATGATGATAATATAAAAGTTAAATAAACCACTGCAATACTTTTTCACATAGTCACCAACATAATTTTTTTGATAAGTGCCGGTCAAAGAACAGCTCCGCCTGGTGAACTTAGCTGTAGCCATTGTTGACTCCATCCTTGAGCTTCTTGGTGGCAGCCAACCAGACCTTTATCTTTGGACTCCATCCTGGAGCTTCTTGGTGGCAGCCAACCAGACCTTTATCTTTGGACTCCATCCTGGAGCTTCTTGGCGGCAGCCAACCAGACCTTTATCTTTGGACTCCATCCTTGAGCTTCTTGGTGGCAGCCAACCAGACCTTTATCTTTGGACTCAATCCTTGAGCTCCTTAATGGCAGCCAACCAGACCTTTATCTTTGGACTCCATCCTTGAGCTTCTTGGTGGCAGCCAACCAGACCTTTATCTTTGGACTCCATCCTTGAGCTCCTTAATGGCAGCCAACCAGACCTTTATCTTTGGACTCAATCCTTGAGCTCCTTAATGGCAGCCAACCAGACCTTTATCTTTGGACTCCATCCTTGAGCTCCTTGGTGGCAGCCAACCAGACCTTTATCTTTGGACTCCATCCTGGAGCTTCTTGGCGGCAGCCAACCAGACCTTTATCTTTGGCCTCCATCCTTGAGCTTCTTGGCGGCCGCCACCCAGACCTTTATCTTTGGACTCCATCCTTGAGCTTCTTGGCGGCAGCCAACCAGACCTTTATCTTTGGACTCCATCCTGGAGCTTCTTGGCGGCAGCCAACCAGACCTTTATCTTTGGACTCCATCCTTGAGCTTCTTGGCGGCAGCCAACCAGACCTTTATCTTTGGACTCCATCCTTGAGCTTCTTGGTGGCAGCCAACCAGACCTTTACCTTTGGACTCCATCCTTGAGCTCCTTAATGGCAGCCAACCAGACCTTTATCTTTGGACTCCATCCTTGAGCTTCTTGGCGGCAGCCAACCAGACCTTTATCTTTGGCCTCCATCCTTGAGCTTCTTGGTGGCAGCCAACCAGACCTTTATCTTGCCAAAGAGATGATAACTGCTTGGTTTCAAGTCCAGGCTGTAAGGAGGAGTTGAAAATTTCCCACTTGGACTGCTCAAGTAAAGCTTTATGCCAGCAGCAGTGTGGGGCCGCACTTTGTTGTGCAGGATAATGACGCCACTGGTGAGCATTCCATACCCTTTGTTTTGGATCAACCGACGAAACTTCTTCAGTGTTGTGTGATAAACTTGTAATGTTATTGTGGCTCCTAGTGTCATATATTCCATCAACAAAATGTCCCTTGTGGTGCCAGAACACTAACTATAAAAGTTTGTTGCAAAAACTTTTGCTTGAATTTGTTGGGTATATTTGGAGAACAAGTGTGCCTCCTCTGTTTTGGCTGTTCCTTCTTTTCTGCATTCAGCAATCCCTCACAGAACTGTCACTCATAATGTTATCACCATACAGGACACAATCAGTGATGAATTTAGGTGGGATTTTGACCTTCTGCTTGAAGACAATGAATCACATGACAAATTTCACAACTGGTGGGGAAAGGCCGTGTTTATTAGTTCGGGATTCATGAACCACTGAACAAATGCAACTGTAGGTTGATCTGTAGTGAGCTAAAGGTTGCTGAATGATGCCGTTATGGCAAGCTTTTTTTTTTTCAACCAGTGAATCAGAGGTTGATTTTTGGAATAGCCATCATATATGTTAAAACTGTAGGAAATTGACTAAACTAGAACTATCTTTATGAAGCAAACTGAATCACAACATTTATTCAAATTAGCTGTTCTGATTTACATAATCCTAACTTAAGTGTGGAAGTTATATCTATTCATGTTTGAATGTTAGGCTAGGAGAAATCAGACGCACTAAGAATATTATCCTCAGTGTCGCTGCCGGATATCATGAAATTTCACTGTGCTCACTTGGAACGTATCCACACACCCACAAAGATCAATGTAAAATTACATACTACAACCAACTCATGAATGCCACTATTGAAAGGCCCAGATGTGCAAGAAATATGAGAAGTAATCTGAGTGGCTAGTGTGAAGACTGGAATTATAATCTCAGGGCTTTTATTATCAGGCCAAGGGGTTGGCCCAGAGGTCTTTTTTTTAAAAAAAAACTATTCTGCTGTTTAGCTGAAAGATCGCACCTGTTATCACCAAAGGATTAATAAAATAGTCAATAATAAAATATAGGTTAGGTTTCTTCATGAAAAATTGTTTAATGTTTATGGTCCGTGTTTTCTTTTTATGCCTGTCATGTTATCTACTCGGATGGTACAGCTGCTAATATTGTTACAGAGCCCCAACACAATGAAATTGGCCACACACAAAAGGGGGGAGGGGGTGCAGCAGAAATAGGGGAAGTAAAAGACAGCACATAAAAACTTGGGAGAAAAAAAATAAGGGGGGGGGGGGGTGGGGGGATTCAGGCTGCCAAAGATTGCACATGCAAATTGAAAAAAGGGGTGCTCATGTGAAGGTGCTTGGTCAATTTTTATGGGACTTTTAACTGATATTGATTTGAAATGATAGCACATAATTTATAATGTATTGATTCTTGAACCTCAAATGCTTAAAACCATGTTAAAATAATCATTATTGTCAAACTCCCCTGTAATTTCAGATTTATGTCTACCATCTGAGAACCCTTCCTGTCATTAAAACTCCAAATCATTTCAGATTCCTGGACATTTTATGTTAGCCTGGTGGCAGAGTGGTTTGTGCTCTTGTCTGTGGAGGAAATGTTCCTGGTTTAACTCTTTCATTTCCCAAAATGTTTAGTCTTTCTCTTTGTTTCTGTAAAGTGAGAAAATGCTTCCCTTACTTTTTTTTAAACGTTTGTCAGAGCATTTTAAAGAAATCTGGCTTCTAATGTCTGCAGCCAGTGTGAAAATAATGCGCTCATGGTGGCTGGTCTTCCCAACCAACAGTATGGCTGTCATAAAATTTCTTAAATTTTATAGGAAGAAAAGGTAACATGGGTATGTTGGGGCCTAGAATAGCAGCATCTGCTATGGGTGAAAAAATGTAACATTTTATTTGACTTCTCCATCATTTCAGATCCACATCTCTCTGTTATAAGTCATGGGGACCCAAGTTTGGGGTTAAAAAGAACAGACCCATTATCCTCTTCCCTCTTCCGAAAGCCTGCTGCAAGAGGTGAATAACTCCTTCGTAATTGGAGTGCAAGTGTTTGAGAAGTGTCTGCATAAAAATATATGCCAGATAAGTAAAACAGATATGCACGCGAAACTCAAGTTCTCGAAACAGATCAAAGTCCAGAAGTGGAGGAACAACAGAACTTTCTGCCAGAGCTTACAACCCCTGACCAACAAGAAGAAGGAGAGAGCCATACATCCTGAAATCTTAATCATCTATTGTATCATATTTCATGATTGATTTTAAACTACACACACAATATATATATTGCCTTTATATATAAAAAACAGTCAATCATGATAATATACACTATGGTTACTTGCTGTAGGGGACAACAGCTGTAATTCTGTCCTTCTCCATCCACTAGTGTTGAAAGCTGTTGAGACGGTCGGAATCACCCACCAGAAAGGAACCAGCAAGTACACTGAGCTGCTGGAGAAAGAAATCTCTGCAACAAAACTCAAGGACAGTATTCTCAGAACTAAGACAGGACAGCCAGTATGTTAACTCAGATTTCAACTCTTGTTTTTATATCTCATTTCTTCTTACATCATTGAATAACAGCACTAGTTATCATTTTATGTGTGAAATATTTAAAGAGAATGAACTTATTAATGAAGGATGTTAGTTAAAAAGTTGAGAGTGCCATTGGTTTTGTTAAGCAATATTAATTTGTAAGTTCAGTTGCTCTATTTTCTTGCAGCTTATACAGACAGTTATTGGATTGTTTAATATTGTGCTGTTTTATATATGCTGCTTTAAATCAAAGGGGGTCTTGCACTCTGAAGGTCTGGGTTCGTTTGAGCCATATGGGATATAACCTGGTGCAATGAAGTGAATCCTCTCACCTTTACCGTATCTTTACAAAGGGTCTCAAATTGGCAGTGGACAAGGACAGTTCTGGCATGCAGTTGACCAACTGGCATCAGTCAGAACCCACCTTATTTTACTTCAACTGAGAAAGATTGAGCATTTACTGCCTTTTTTCGCAGAGCAATGACATCAGCTCTTCGTCATAAATGATAAAGCTACAACTTGATCTTGTGAATGCTGATGTGAAATTATGCAACCGGAGATAAAAGCAGTTCTAAACCTATGGCTCACAACCCTTTTGTGGATCCAAGGAGCCTTTCACAGGGGTCGCCTAAGACCATAGGAAAACATATATTCACTGAGGTTAGCAAGTAAACACAAAAATAATTTTATGGTTGGGGGTCACCACAGCATGAGGAACTGTATTAAAGGGTCACGGCATTAGACAGGTTGAGAACCCCTGCTTTAAATCATATGTAATTTAACACTGGGTTTTTCTATTGGCTGGCATATAGTTACTGTAAAGCTGTTTTAGCAGGATCACTATTGTAGAGAGGCGCGGCTGGTGAATGGGTTAGAAAACAGCCCTTTGTTTTGGGTATTTGATTGTTAATAAACTTTAGCTGAGTGTCTAGGGAGAGAATTGTCTCACATTAAAATGTTGAAAAAAAGGAGAAGGTAACATACATCCTTTGTCTTTTTCTGTGTTCGCCCTTAAAAGGTTGGTTGTCACATTGTGAAGTAGTTTACAGTTAGGCTGTGATATCTAAACCTTTCAGGTAATGCATCTAATTTCAGCAAAATGATTTAGTATTTGTTGGGGATAACTGAGCACCTGTCTGACCATATGTCTTCTATGAAACATTTGTCTGAGGTTGTTGTGTGGAAGTTGTTTCCTACAACTGTAATGGTTTCTGTGGCAGTTTATTTACCATCAATACATAGATTAAATCAGCTTTTTAAAATTTGAATTAAATATATTATCTCATTTTGCAGGAGAAGGAAGTGGAAAACCGCCAGCGTGACCATGTGTCTCATTTTATCCTCAGGCTGGCTTACTGCAGATCGTAAGAATTGATATTTTTTTTTTAAACAGTGCACACTTAGGAAACTAATAAAAGTAGAGTAGTTAAAAAAATTTAATTAACTAAGTATTTACTGTAGTCAAAGAAAATATTAATTATAAGACCAGGGTGTAATAGACAGAGTTTACATGGTCATCTTAAACTTAAATTTAAATGATACTGGTAATTGGATTTTAGCAGCAAATAAAAAACAGTTGGAGTATTCCAAAAAGCAGAAATGTAACTTATGTTGAAATTGATTGTTCAGCCATATAATTAATTATAAAATACTGTGGTGAACAAAGAAATGAACAAACTTACTTTATTTTCAAAGGGTCTCAAATTTGGCAGTGGGCAAGGATAGTTCTGGCATGCAGTTGACCAACTGGTATCAGTCAGAACCCACCTGATTTTACTTCAACTGAGAAAGATTGAGCATTTACTGCCTTTTTCGCAGAGCAAATACATCAATTCTTTGTCATAAATGATAAAGCTACAATTTGATCTTGTGAATGCTGATGTAAAATTATGCCACCGGAGTGGTTGTTTAGTTCTGCAAGTTACCAGTACAAAATTGTTATTTTTGTTTTGTTGGTATGGTAAAGTAGACTAGACTTACATAAAATGTAATTGTCTTGACACAGGGAGGACCTCCGAAGATGGTTTCTTGCCCAAGAGTTGGATTTGTTTCGCTTCCGATTTCAGATGGAGGATGCTGCAAGCAAAGCCCAGTTTTTGACAGCAAATAACTTGAAATATAAACCGGTATGTTGACGTGATTTAGAACTATATGTTGTCATATAAACAAAACATCTTATAAGTAAATTAATGACATTTTGTGCCTTTTATTTACAGTTTATAAACACGTAAGCAGTTCATGTTGTGATATTAAACTATTTTATTTGTGTTTGTGTGTAGGTATCCAAAGATGAACGAAGTTATGTAACTAAACAACTTGATGGTCTTGACTATATCAGCAATCAAGATGACCTGGAGTTCTACAAAGTAAGTATTTTAGTTCTCTATTTTGTATTCTGGGTAAAGTGTGGATGAACTGGTTATTGTAGACTCAGACATGTTCTGATCTATTTAAAACCTAAAAATCTATTTTATATGTGTGTGTGTGTGTGTGTTTGTATGCGTGATGTCGGCTTCTTGGACTTAGGTGTAAGTGAATTTGTAATTCCAGTTTGTCAGGTTCTGTCCAAGCTGTGCGCGATTTGGCAGTAGACCGCCTTGTGTTGGTATCAACAACCGACCTTCAGAGGTAATGTCAAACTACTGAGCGTAAAATTGCTTAGTAGAATCACTAAAAGCCACAGTAAGGGATACACAACTAACTTTTTATCTATCACTTCTGTAAATTTAACATTGTATACAGGTTGATCAAATATATACAGATAATTCTCCTGTAAAGGTAATTTTAACAAAGAATGTTGCAAATATGGATGGTCAGAATGAAGGTTGTAAATATGGATGGTCAGAATGAAGGTTGCAAATATGGATTGTAAAAATGAAGGTTACAAACAAGGATTGTCAGAATGAAGGTTGGAAATATGGATGGTCAGAATGAAGGTTACAAACAAGGATTGTCAGAATGAAGGTTGCAAATATGGATGGTAAAAATAAAGGTTACAAACAAGGATTGTCAGAATGAAGGTTGCAAACATGGATGGTCAGAATGAATAATAAGGGTGAAGACCAACACATGGGAATCTAGTCGTGATCATCAGAAGTAAATAGCGAACATTTTGGTTTTTATCGTAAGAGAAAAACTGGAACCTGCAGTCACATCTGGTGAGTTGAATTGGCCAGAGGCAAGCTTATGAACAGGTGTATATGATGGGATATAAGTGGTACATTGTTCTTCTATGGACTGAATGTTTTCATGTGCAGTGAGGATAATGAGTTAACTAACTATCTTCTGTATCTGCCCTTAAAAGAGCATTTGGCATGTTGCGGTTTACAGCTAGGCTGTGATATCTGCCCTTTTTGGGCTCAGCTCGTCCACTTTGAGCAAATCCTCAATTAGCTGCCTTTTATTACATTCTTTTTTAGGAGCAGTGAGTGTTTTCTTGTCTTCCTAAAATAACTGGAGCCTCAGTAGAACATGAGCGAAGCTTGGTGGCTGAATATCTTACTGCATGGGATGGGGTGGGGGGTTGCTTCAAATGACTGTCGACTGAAAAAGACTACTGAGTTTCTGAGACTCAGTCCTAGACCAGGAGATGTGTTTGCAGCTTAGATGAGCAACATCTCCTGTGGGTGTTTCTCGCAGTTCATTCCCGTCTCTATTCATCATTTTTACAGTGTTCCTGGTCAACCCTCAGCGTTGCCTGCATTGAGGTACACCTCATCTGCCATGGTCAGTCAGCTGATTAGCACAAGTGTCCGTCAGTCATATTTCCTAGGGCTGTGTGACAGATAAAGGTCCAATACCTTCTATGATTAGTCTCACTCATCTTACTGTCAGGACCAAAATTCTGGCAGTCAAATATCCTGCTGTCCTTGATGGAAAGGGTCAGATGTCTGTTACCATTGGCCCCACTTGCCTGAGTGTCTTGACCGAATAGGCAATTCCATGCCTTATGTGTTCTTTCCCTATACGTCATGCTAAGTGCCTGTATGCAACAACATTAAAGCTGTCTAACATGCTAAAGAAGATTGTGCCCAATTGTGTGGTCATCGAAGTCTCAGACCTGCAGGCTCTTCCCTGTTAATCTCCAGAGGGTACAGCCCATGATAGGAAGCTCAACAGATGGAAGCGGTCATATGCAGGGCATGACAATTTCTTGGGGGAGCCCAGGACCAAAGCGTCATGTGTGGGGTCTTCATTTATGGAAGCCTCCTTGGATTGCAGAGAATGCATATGGTTTGCCTCTGCCTTCCATTGAGGGCCAACCAGTCTTGATACGGTTGTCCTGGATCAGTTCTCCAAGGGCAACTTATTCTTCTTTTGTCATCTCACAGATACCAGGTTGTAGCCCAGTGTCATGTTTTTCTGTTTTTGTCTTGCGCTTCTTGGGTGGCTTGAGTGATGAATCTGTTCATCTTATTTACAGGTTTCCGCAACACCATTTATTCTTTCCTGGTCTTCCTCTCGCCTTCTTTCCAGATGTTCTGTTGTTGAAAGTCTCATATGCAGTTTGGTCTGGCTGTATTCTTACTGGGTGAATAAACCATTTCATTCTTTGTCTGTCAGTATAATCCAGAGACCACATTAAAAACAAAGAGGTTCGCCATAAAATTATACAGCACACTGGCAATTATTAACCTCTTTTAACTACAGTAAAAAGGTGAAAAATGCTATGGTATGGACATGTAGTAAGATCTAAAGGCCTCTCAAAAACAATACTGCAGGGCTCAATAGAGGGAAAGAGGAGGCAGACCAAGAAAGACCTGGTTACAGAACCTGACTGACTGACTGGATAGGCCTCAGGCGGGCAACCATGAAGTCTATCGCAACTGACAGCTAAAGGTGGAGAGATCAGACAGTCAGCAGAAATTGGTGACCCAACGACACGCAGTGTTGCGGAATGATAAGGATGATAATCCAGATGCAACACTCGTAGATAAGTGGACAGCTACGTTAAGTCCCTTGAAACCAACCGGGAAGACTGACCTGGTGAACTAATGCCTGATGAAGCTGGATGTATCGGCAGAAAGATGCATATATCACAACTATACTGTAAACAGGCACAACACAAAAACAGCACTCAGTCGAACGAAAAGAAGAAGACCAACTTGTTGATTCTTCCTGTCAGTAAATGTAAATGAGATTTTAAAATGTATATTTGCAGGTTCCTTTCACAGAAGCTCTGGATCTGGTTAGGAACCGGAAAGTGTTTCTGCAGTCCGGTTATGCTTACGTTCCACAGGAAGACCTGGTTTCTATTTTGTTATCTTTGTACAGAACTCAGTTGTCACAAGCGCTTTCTGTAAGTTCGCATTCTCCTATTATTTTCTTTTTATTTTAGTTAGTCTTTCCCTGACATAATTTTCCATAAAGCCCCTTTATTTAAAATGATAGCACATTTTTTGTATTCAGTGTGGTTTAACAATAAATTTGTCTTTTCCTGTATCATTTAACAATAAATTTGTCTTTTCCCGTATCATTTAACAGTAAATTTGTTTACTCCTGTCACTTAAAATAGTTGCTTCATTTATGTCTTCCTTCCATTTGCCTCTGTAAGAAATATTTTGTGATAGGCTGGCAAATATTATTTTGTTCAAGAAAAAATAGATTGTTTAAAACATGTAGATGTGGATATTTTATGAATAAATAGCTTCTTTAGCTTCATCTGATTTTACATAATAATAACAATATTACTGTTATGTCATCACAATTTGTGTCACTCCATGCATAGTATTCCTTATCTTGACATCTAAGATGACAGCAACCTTGAGATCAAATACCACTAGTGATTTTGAGAAGCTATGTCCAGCTATAACTTGGGCAGCCGTGGTTCAAATCCTGTTGCAGACAGAAGTGATTTTATTACAAAATTCTAGTTCCAGGGAACGAATGAAGAACAAATTTTATTTTCAAAGCGTTAAAAATTGGGCACAAAGGCCTGTCTAACATTCTGCCCTCCAGTCCAATCCTTGCATATAGTTATATTAAACTGGGTGTCTAGCCTTCTGGCAAAAGGGCAGAAGACCATCTTAGTTATGTTCGAAAAAACAAGGTGCTTATTATCAACTTGTGAGATGGGATTAAGTCATGAAATATAGATTGTGAGCATGACACAACAGATTGAACTTTCACCTGTGTAACAAGTAGGCTCATTGGATCTTTGTGTTTATCTTTGGCTTTCTCACAGTCCTGCCTAACTTACGATATTGAACATAAATTTGACATCAGCCAATTTCGATTCCAGCGAATACTTCCTGCGAATGAAGCAGAATCTGACAACTGCTTTTATTGAAGACACGAGTGTGAAGGTCTGAGTATCAACGAGGTAGCAGAGTGAGGAAAACTGAGACCCTTGTGCACATTTTATACTATAAGAATCATTTGTCTTGTTGGAAATTAAAGAGAGCAGGCCAAATATGCAGCTGCTCAGTCAGTTTCCAGTTAGAAACCTGCAGATATCTCCCGCCTCCATTAAATGCTGAGATGGGCCTTTTCTTTCCATCTGGTGACTTCAGGTGTTTGTAGGTCTGTTTGGATATTATCTCTCCACCTCCTGCCTTGTAGTCTGCTCCTATTCAGCTCTTGTGTGTATCAGTTTTTGTCTCTGTTATCTGCCGTCTCTCCACATACCCCAGCCATTGTGGCCGTCCTGATAGTATTAATTAATGGTGATTTAAACAGATGATGAATTTCATTGTTGTTCTCACTCTGCATTCTTTTCACTAATAGGAGATTAATTGCTTTAATTGACTGAACATTTATTTCTGATTTTTGTCTGCTCTGTAAATTTGTTCCTCAGATCACCTCTAGAGCTTTGCCAAGCATGGAAGAAGATGGTCGCCTCTTGCCGATGCTCTGTGGCCTGAGCAAGCGATATCTAGGTCAGGATTACGGCGTGCGACAACACAATGTTGGAGTTGTCACTGCAGACATGATTGAAATGGTAAACTAAAATATTGACAGCTTCGTCTTCTTCAGCATTCTAAGCAATTCAGGTTCATTGCTGTAATCACCCGCCTCCATCATCTTTGACTGGCTTTTGTTTCTAGTTTGTGACTCCAAGTGTATGCAGGTCTACCTGTGTATCACCTCTATCGCTTTCTTGGTCTTCACAACTCCCTTGTGCACACAGTTTTCGCCTGTCTTTCACCTGCCATTTTCTCTGTATGCTCCCGCCCGTTTCAGCCTGTTAGCCCTCATGATGCGAGCGATCACTAGTGATTTCCTCTTCTTCTTTGTTCACCGGCAGAAAGTCCTGGTTGTTCGTCCATTTGGACTTTTGCTTTGTGCCAGGGCCTGAGTTTTGCATGTCATCCGTTTTACTGACTTATTTGTGTGCAGTTGATTATTCCTTGCAGCTTGGGCAGATGCACTCTGACTTCGAAAGGAAGTCCCCAGTTAGTCGACTCCTACGACATGCTTGCCCCGGAACCCACACAGATTATGAATTTTATAGTTGCTTAAATTATTGAAAGCAGCATTGATAAATTTATATTGTACGAGAAATATTTGTTTCTGTATATTCCTGTTAATATCTATTTTAGTATGTTTCCTTCTGTGTCGGCGTCTGTGTCAAGGGTTTATGACTGCAGTTTCACAATCCCAATTTACTAACAGACCGCATTGTAATGATTTCAGTAGCAGTGTGTGCCTTTTATCATTCAGAAAGCTGCAGAAAATTAATGAATTTTCCATTAAAACCGCACACCGGTCGATAAATGCTGGGGGCCAGTTTTGTGAAGTTCTGGAACGTTTAGGCAACTTATTTATACTTTTCTTGTGTAGAATGAATTATCATGAGTCACCGGTTCACCAACTTTCACAATTGTTCGACAGTAATATTGTATGTGTATTATAATGCCATTAACATGATTAATTAAGACAAACATACAATCAGAATGTTATTAGCAGCATCAGAAGTGGAACTGTTTGCTTTTCTTAATGAGGATTGGGAAGGGAGACGAGGGGGAATACTCCTGGGATGTTCCTGGCACTGTGATGTCAATCTTAACTGATAATCCACCAGTGGTGTGTTAACTCATAAATGGTAGCAGTAGTTTGTCACTCGCTGCTGTTTGTTGTTACCAAGACTCATAAGGAAAAACAGTAATGGTAGCATTATAGCCTTCCTTGAATGTTAAAGAGCCAACAAAGGAAAGTTAATGTGAGGATGGCTACTTTGTTTAAAGCCCTTGTGCTGTTTAAGTTTTTATCTGTCTGGTGCCACTTTCTTTTATTTCATATAGCTTTATCTTCCAAGATGGGTTTTCCCTTGCTTTCGATATGCATTTGGACTTGGTTAGTCACTTGCCTTTAGTAGTGTTTTAGATTGCTAGAGTAAAAGAATACCACACTTGGTGGCATCCTGGTGGGTTAACAGCCAGAAAACTCTAGGCTGTCCATTGATCTTGATGTTTTATTGATCACTAGAGGAGGGTGAAATTTTCTATTTTCCCTCGGCCATGTTATGAGAAGAGGGAAAAAAGAACATGTTGTGACCACTGGAAAGATATGTGGAAGGAGAGATAGAGGAAGACAACGAGAGAAGATGCTTGACAGTCTTGTTGCATGGCATGGAGGTGTGTCGGCACACAAACTGATACATGCTGCAGGAGATGTAGAGCCCCACGCCAGTCGGCAAGGCACCTGCTGATGATGATGAGAGGAGGGTAACTTTGTGACCTAGTTTTCTTCAATTGTCAGATCTTGTAGAGTTTCTATGGTGTTCTAAAATTAAAGAATTGTTGTGTCACATTATAAACACAAGTAGGGTAATTTGTACAAGGTGTCACCTTGAGATCTGCTAGTTGTGGAATATTCTTTGAATTTGAAGAACATGATAGGAAATTCCCAGAAACCAAACATTCTTATTCTTCTTCACATCCTCTTTTATCGTGTGGGACGTCGAGAGAGATATGAGGTTCTGCTTCTTGCTCTTCTGGTCTCCTTCACCAACGTCTTAGTCGAGGTTTCATCTTTAATGCAGTCGGATTGCCCCGTACATTCTCCGTTCCTGTGCCAGTGAAAATCAGATGAAATATCCCCCACTGTCTCATTTGAAAAACTGGTGAACAGACAGTTAGTCTTGGTACAATCCAGAAATATGCATAGAGCTATTGTAGAGTTTCTCTGATGTTATCTTTCCCTCTTGTTCTTCATCTACCTCGTGCTCGAGTCCTCCTCTTTTAGTATATGTCTTGTATGGTAAGGTGTCACAAGGCACTCTCTTTAAGTGGGCAAACCAATTGGTTTGCTGTCTTTGTAGTTTAAAATTGGTTCTGTGCTGACTTATAACCAAACATTAAAGGTATATAATTGTGAATGCGTAGGCTAGAATTTATCAGCACACACACGTCTACACGATTTACCACGAAGAACACGAACGAATGAACAAACTTTATTTTCAAAGGGTTACAAATTGGGCACGCAGGCCCATCTGACATTCGGCCCTTCTAAGCACTCGTTTTTCAGAGTACCAATGCCTGTTATCTAAAATGCATGTTATAGATATAGAATAAAAATATACATTATAGAATTTAATACATACATCATATGTACACAATCTTACACACTCACAATATATATATATATATATATATATATATATATATATATATATATATATATATATATATATATATATATATATATATATAATATATATATATATATATATATGCTCTCACATTCTCATACATGCACACTCATATACAGACATACCTAACACATACATATATACATCTACATATATGCACAAACAGAAAAGACACACACATACATATATGGACATATATGTACACACACATTCCATACATACACACCTACACATGCATGCATGCATACACACACATACAATCACATGTACAGACACCCACAACCACACATTTACACTCACATGTAAACATACATACACACATATACATACAAACATCAATACATACACCTACATCTTTACACACATACATGCATACATACCTAAATACACACACATACACCCACATACTTATACATCTACAAATGCATACACACATCAACAAACATGCATACATACACACACCCACATACATGCCGACACATTACATACATACCCTCACATACATACACACACTCATGCATACATACACTCATGCATACATACATACTTGCCTACATTATGTACACACATACACTCATATACAGTCACACATACTTACAACATATATACATAAATACACACACAAACTTAAATATACATTCATATATCCACATGCATGCATACACACACACACACCCACCCAGATAATACATACATATATACACACATATAGATTCTTTTATACATACATACACATACATAATACATACTTACATACACGCATACTTGCATTCATTCATAAATACACACACATCCACATACATACACAGCTACATATACCGACAAACATCCATATACATGTATGAATACACATACACCCATAAACTTACACAGATACATTTACATAGAAACATTCTCATACATATACAGGCATACATAATACATGCACCTACATACATATATGCACACATACATACATCCACATGTATACATACATACATGTACACATGTATTCTAGCATATTTCTTCCTCCTTTCAGCTGTCAAAGAAATCTTTTCCGCTGTGTATGCAAAATATCCATGCTGCCCTAAAACAGAACCACCATCTGCGACATGGCTCTCGATTGCAGTATGGGCTCTTCCTGAAAGGAATTGGACTTTCTCTGGACGAGGCCATGAAATTTTTTAGAACTGAATTTACTAAAAGTATGGATGTGGATACAGTAAGTAATGTTTTTATTTGATTATATACTTTCATTTGTAAGAATTATGTGTAAATTAGAACTGATAGCTACAGCCAATTTTTTTAGTAAATATAAACTATAAATTCAAAAGATGACAGCAGTAGTTCTGTGTGGTAGTATCAGATACTGTATCGTTGTCAAACACTTGTTGAATCCTCCAAATCCCATAGTTTCCTGTATATAAAAGAGTGTTTTCCCTAATGTTCCATATTTTTAATTTCGGGTAGCCTTATAACAGAATGTATTTAAAATATTTCTTTCTTAATTGTAGGCTTTAAAAAAAATAGGGGTTGTCTTATGATAAGGGAGGGGGTTGTCTTAAGAACAAATGAATAAGTAGCTTCCACTTGAGTATCATCAAGTTTTTTTTTTTAAACTTTAACAACTGCTGGTCATTCAATCGTTTCACGATAAACAAACATCTGGCAGGCATTCACCACCTACCCATGAGGGCTGATATGCCAACAGCATGGACCAGGTTTTTTTTTTTAACACTTAACGTTTCTGACATTGTTATACTTGTAAATAGTGCTGAAGATTAGGAATAAAGAGAGATCTTCTATAAAAATGCATTTCAAAGACCCACGGATAAAATTATGGAATAAAATATTGAGAAAGTTTACAAGTAGGATTAAAATGACATTATGTATTTTTTTCAAATTACAACTTAAGTTCTCCATACGCTCTTATATATCACTGTGTATATGTTGTGATGTTTCTGTTACACATACACTGTGGTATATCACTGTTATTTTTTTAATTGATTCTTTTAGTTCGACAAAAAGTATTCCTATGGAATACGGTACAACTACGGCAAGGAAGGAAAGAAGACAGATTACACTCCGTTTGGTTGTATGAAGATTATCATGAACAATCCACCTGCGGCTGGTGATTCTCATGGTGAGCTATGTATTTTGTTTGTTTCAAACTGGGGAGGTTGAGAGAAGCATGGATGAGAGGCTGTGGGGCCTGCCTCTGGTTCAGAAGTCACTGAGTTCATTCCCAGCATAGGACTAATGATATTTACAAGAACCATTGGTAGTTTCAACAGATATATATCTTCCTCACCAGGCTAAGATGCTGTGTTTAGCAACAATTTTTGGAAGCATGGATCATCTTGACTGAGCTAGAAAAATAAAACTGTATATCCGCTTTTCTTAGAAGAATACTAAATTTCAAATGGTCAAATGGTCAGATTTCCGAACCAATACACAAATAAGGCGAGAATCCAGGCAAGAGTATGTGTCTAATTTTATACGAAAACACCGCTGGAACTACCACGCCCTTAGAATGAGAGGGAGGAGGGGAGGGGAGAGTAAAGGGGAAGGTAGAGGAGGGAAAGGGGGGAAAGGAGTAGGGGAAGAGGGCGGGGGGGGGGAGAGAGGTAGGAGGAGGAGAGAGAAAAGGGAGTATGGAGAAGGAGGGAAGGGGGGAGGGGGAAGAGGGGGGTGGTGGGAGGGAGAGGAGGAGGAGGTAGAAGGGGGAGGGGAAGGAGAGAGGGTGGGGGAGTGGGAAGGGAAAGAAGGAGGGGGGAAGAGAAGGGGGGGGAGGATAGGGGGGGAGAAGGAAGGGGGGGGGATGAGAAGGAGGAGGGGGAGGAGGATAAGGGGAAAGGAGAGAAGTAGAGGAAGGAGGAGAAGAAGGGAAGGGAGAGGAGACTAAAGGGAAAGGGAAAGAGAGAAAGGGAGAAGAAAAGGGGAGAGAAGAGAAGGGGAGAGGGTAGAAAGAAGGAGAAGGGGGGGGAGGGAAGAGAATGGAGAAGAGAGAGAGAAGGCGGAGAGGGGGGAGAGAGAAGGGGAAGGGGGGGGAAGGAGGGGGGGAGGGAGAGGGATAAGGGGAGAAGGTAGATAAGGAGGGAAGAGAGGGGGGAGGGGGGGGAGGGGGGGGGAAGTAGGAGAGAGAGGAAAGAGGAGGGGAGGGTCTGAGGGGAGGAAGGAGACTGAGGGAAGGGAGAAGTAAGGGGGGGAGGGGGGGAAGTAAGAAAGAAGAAGAAGGGAAGGGGAAGAATGGGAAAGGGGGGAGGAGGAGAGAGGGGGGGGGGGAGGAGAAGTGAGAAGGGGGGGAGGGGGAAAGGGAGGGGAGATAGAACAAAAGGGGAGAAGGAGTGAGAAGATAGGGGGGAAGAGGAGAGGAGGAAGGGGGGAAGGGGAAGCAGAGGGAGGGAAGGGGTTTTAGAGGAGTGGGGAAGAAGGAGGGGGAAGAGGGACAGAGGGGAAGGGGAATAGTGAACAGGAGGGAGGAAGAGGGTGGGGAGGAGGGGGGAGGGGGGGGGGAGAAGAGAGAGGGCGGAGGGGGAAGAGGGGGGGGGGAGGGGAGAGAGGGGGGGGGGGGGGGGAGGGGAGGAGGGGGGGAGAGGGGGGAGGAGGAGGAGGGGTTAAAGGGAGGAGGCTGAGGGTGGAAGGAAGAACGAAAGTTAGAGGGAAGACAGTAGGGAAACTATGGTCGGCCACGCCCTTAGAATGGATAAATCAAGACTTCCTTACCAAGCCCTCATTTTGGACACCAAACAGGGGAAAAAGATAAATCTCGTGCTCTCAATTTGGGACACCACAGGGGAAAAGATCTCGTGGAAGACCAAGGGAAACCCTACGTAGAACTATCATCAGGAAAGGCTCGCTCATGGGCCACTCAAACATCCAAGACCTACAACAGATTGCAACGAACCGCAGCGCATGGAGAGTCATGACCTCTGCCCTATGTGCCGCACTCGACACAAGAGGAAAGACTAACTAACTAACTAATATCTGCTTTTCAGGAGAGTCTGTATCTTTGTAAACTAGCTATGAAACTTCATAATTATTACTGTGTCTCCCCATGTGGGTAACAGGACCACATTGATAAACCCACGAAAGGTCAACTAATTAGAGTCAGTCGGAGTGCATCTTGTCTGAGAGGCAGATGGACCAACAGTCTGCTTACAAATAAGCCAGATCTGTAAAATGGATGTGCACAAAAAAACTAAAGTTCCGGAACAGGTGTAAAATGCAGAAGTGGATGAACAGCCAGAACTTTTGACTGGAGTTTACAGCCAGGGAATGCACAGAAGAAGGTTACTGTGTGTGAACATGAGGGAGAAAGGCTCAGAGTAAGAACAAGGTAGAGATACAGAGATGGAGAGAGAGTGTCAGACAGAAAAAGCGAGGGAGAGGGACTGTTGTGATGAACTGTTATCATGTTACTCTAGACACTCACATAAGATCTCAGTTTCTCCCGAAAGTTTAAAGATTCAGTATTAATTGTTTCTGTTGTAAGATAGTTGAAATGTGAAAGAAATATTCACACAATACCATAGGTTAATAAATTTGAAGGTTTAATGTTGCAAAGCGCTAAGACTTTGTCATGGAAGAACTTTTATGCACAGTGTCATGTCAAAAACAATTTATTCTTTTTTTTTTTAGGTTGTCCGTTTAGACACTTTGATACAGAGATTTTTGAAGCAGAGAATTTCAACGTTTGGACTGCCAAAAGAAGGAGTGGATGTGGTAGGTAGTATTTTAATCTTAGCTGTAAAAAAAAAAAGATTATATTAGAGTTCATATTGTTTAATATAATTGGTTACAGTCCTACAATTTATACAATAAAATATCTAATACATCCTCTGTCTGTGGCCACAAAAGCTCTAAAGTACTCTATCTATGCTGAATCATTCCCTGCGTAAGCCCTCTGCTTCTGTATTTCATGTAAATCCTGATGTTACTACATAGTCTGTCATTAAAGCATGACATAATCCTTTTATAGTACACTAAGTTAGTTGCCTATCCTTTACAAGACGTTGCAGAACCAACCCCAACAGCCCCTGGCTGTTGTGTGGTTTTTCTAGGCAAGTTTACATCCATTAGTTTGCCATTGCTTTCTGGACAGTCAACTTTCTTGATACCACCGTCGAAACCAACACAAGGCGCATTGCCCGCAGCTGAGATCGAACCCGGCATTATAGTACACTATATAATTATAATAATACTGTTTCACACTTTATAAACCTCTGATAGTATACTACATGAGCCTTGTATAGCTCAAATAATCATTTAATGCTCTGTAGCACACAGCAAAGCACTATAGCGTTACTGGATAATCCCACTATAGCACACAACATCACCCCTTACTGTGCTATATAAGCCCTATGTAAGACACTGAATAGGCCCTCTGTTATATGCCAGATCAGCATTATGACCATACTGTAATAACGAACGAACTTTATTTTCAAAGGGTCACAAATTGGGCACGCAGGCCCGTCTTACATTCGGCCCTTCCAGTCAACCATCTTTCACACAGCAATTGTATTTTACTAATAAAGCATGTTATGATCATATGATGATATGCATATTATGAATATTATAAAAGAACACAAAAGCATGAGTTGTAAAGTGCATGCAAAAACCCACGCGTGCATACATACACCCACATACACACGCTCACCCACTCACTTACACATACATACATGCATACATTGCATACATACACACATACAGGCATACATACATACAAACAAACATGCATACACACATATACACAGGCATACATACACACAAACATACATACAAAGATACAAACATACAGGCATTCATACATACATAATACAGGCATACACACATACAAACTTACAGTTTTTGTCTAGCATCAGGCAAACTTGGGACCTCAAGAGGTCACGAACTTGGCATTTACATCTGTGACTTATTCCCGTAAAAGCCACGTAACTGGCATTTCTTCTGTAGCCGGTCCCAGAGGGGAAGTTTACAGCACTGGGTTATGTTTTCATCTATGCTGTGTTTACGAGATAAGAATGTATTTCATCATCCTGTCCTTTGCAGAACATTGCTCTCATCACGATCTGCCTGAAAGACATCCGGTCTCGCGCCAGTTCTCCCGCCTTGTGTACTTTCATATTCAAGGAGTCAGTTATATCCTGCGCCCATCTTTGGTCAGCTCCTGCACCTCCTTCTTGTTGGTACTATGCTGTCTGCTATTATTTTTTTTTTTACAATCCGCTTTATATGACCTGAATTTTTCAGCTTGCAAGACAAGATGCTGTTTATTATCCATTTTTTCTTAATGTTCAGATCTTTTAAAATGTCAGTATTTCTGTTCTTCTTTGTCCAAGGTATTCAGAGAATCTGTCTATAGCATTTCAGCTCAAAACCCTCTATTCCCTTTCCTAAGGACTAGGAGATAGTCCACGTCTCACATCCGTATGTTGCTACAGGAAAGGTGCATGCTCTAAAAATTTTGATTTTGGTTTCTTTGAGGTTAACCATAGACTTTTAATGCTGTTTAATCTTTGCATTGTTATGGCTATCCTCTTTCTGATTTCTGTCAAACAGTCGCCACTACTGTTTATTAGAGAGCCTAGATATTCAAAGTATTTACATTAAAAAATAGGCTAAAGCGGGAAGGGGGACTTCATAATTTCCCCTAACCTTAGTTTTACAATTAGGACGTCGTGCGTCATCAGATACATTTTTTAAGTCCTAGGAAATGTATTCCATTTAACTCTTTCAATTCCAAACAACATGCCATATTAGAGATTATTAATAAGCACCAATCATGTGTTGTATATTTATACATCTTCAGTTAAGTCAGGAAAAATAAATCAACCCAGCAAAAAAAAGTCGCCTACAACGTGTAATCAGTTTGGATCCTGTGGATTCAATGTGTCCGTTCTATTGTAGTTATCCTTATAGTTTTAGCCAGGCATCAGTTATGACCTTCTGGGACTGAAAAAGTTGATCCTCTAAAACAAAACAATTACAAATTTAAACATAAGTAAATAATTATAAACAAAATATTAATAACCTGTGTCAGATTTTTGTTTTAAGGATATTTTTAAAGGAATTGTTGCATGTTCCTTCATTTTTCTGTACACATTTTCAGGACGAAAGAGCTAAGCCTTTTGTAATGCACTAACATTTTGTGCGGCCAAAATAAGTTAGTTTCTAGGATATGCTACCAGTTGGTTATCTACAATTATCACCTCTCTGTTTAAAAATTACATCTCGATCCAAATGCTTTGACTATTTCTCCGCAAGCTTTTAAATTTGAAGGACTTAATTTTCATGTTTCACATCCATGTGTTGGTAAAGGAATGAAATAAATGGGTAAAATATTTACTTGTGTTTGCAGATGTTTCTCAAGCATTGTTTTTACCTCTTACTTCTTTTGTTCAGTCACCATTGTTACTAATTCGGGAGCTAAAATATGGCAAGTTTCTAATGTTTTCTTCTTCATTGTTGATTAAAATGTTTTCTTGACAGGTAGTTTTTCTTTAAATAAAATAACTTGTTTCTGTTGTCCAGATCATGAAGTACACCAAGGGAGGCCACTGTCAAGTGGCGTGTGCAAAGTTCTTTGAGCTGACTCATGGAATCAGTGACAGCAGCAGTGAAGTGGAGATGTTCATTCAGCATCCCAACCAGTACTTTGAGAACAGCCAGAAACTACTCAATGGTTGGTGCATAGATTTTATCTTAGTGTAACAGGGTGGTTTTGGGGGGGGGGGGGATATAAAAGAAGAGAGAGATGCGAACTGATAATGAAGAAAGGAGAAAATGAGAATTTCCTTTTTTTATTTACTTGTTTATTTATTTAACTTATTAATATTTCTTCCCTTCTTTTTTCCATACGCCTTCTCACTTATTTCATTTCGCATTATAGCTCTTCATATTAACTTTTTCCCTTTTTTGAAGGGGAAAAAGGGCAGGGAGAGACATAGAGAGAAGATGATGGACAGTTTTGACATCATGGCATGGAAAATCGTCTGTGAAAACATGAAAGGTTTTAAATACTTAGGCGCACTAATTGTCCTGGACAGTGAAAATGTAGTTAGAAAGTCAAAATGAGGCCCAAAGTTGTAGGTGTAGAAAGTGGGAGGAAGATTTTGATGAACAGTTGTCTGAGAGTTTGAACAACTAGAACAAGAGATAATACTGAGATCTGTGGCAACAGATTCTTTACTGTGGAGATAGCAACTAATTTATTGAAAAACAGAAAGTCCACAACTGACTGCGGTTTATATCGATTAATTTTTTTAAATTGTTTTTTTCAGGACCAGCCAAGCCTCCTTCTACTCCCAGAGGGGTGAAGATTGTCAGTTCTCAGACTGGCACCCCAAAGTCATCAGGGAGTGAGACTTCTATCAAGTCGGAACCAGCAGACACAGCTGACCCAATGATGACTTTCTCAGAGGAAGAGCTGCAAGCACTTGATGATGAAATGTTGTAATGAAAATGTCTTTGTAATGTTGCTGAAAATGCTAGGGTAAAGCTGAGATTTCCCAAAGTAATGATATGATATAATCTACAATTCATTGTAGCCTGAGCTGAAAACTGAAGTATCATAATCTACAAAAGTGACTGAATCACCTTTATCATGTGCATTGCCAGTTGACATAGGCGTCCATGCGGACATCCTGCACCTACAACAGTTGAGACTTACCACAATACTGAAACTCTTCCAGAGACTGCATGCCCAGCCCATTGATGACTTTCTTGGTTCTTGATCTTGAAACATGTTGTTTTGCAATGCATCACTTTAGGGCCACATTTACTCTCCCAGCTTAGATATGTATGTTCTAGAACAGTGATCCTTAACCTTTTTACACCTGCAGCCCACCAGAACAAGGAGAATTGTTTCGCAGCCCACCTGACAGCTGATCAAACACGGAAACAAAAGCAAATGTAGATAGCGGGATTTTTCGTTAAATTAATCCTAGACTGGACTATCGGTTATGGTAAAAATAACACGGTTAACAAATTTTCAAAAGGTTTTTTTAACTAGAATTTAAATACGTAATTTTTAATTGATTTTGACAGGCTGATTTCAAATATTGTAACAAAATTTACCCACTGGCTCTAGTTTTTGTGTTTTGTTTTGTTTAAATGACAAATCTACATTACAGTAATACAAATAAATAATGTATGCTTTTTTTTTTAAAAAATCTCTAGAGTGAACAGTTAATCCTTCTATTTTGGCTTTAGAACAATTGTTGTTGCATACTCAGTTTATAGATATTTCAACATGAAATGATAGAAACAATAAATAAAAAACATTTAAAGTTCACTTATAGTGTTTTAAAAAGTAACATTTGAACCTTTTCCGTCATTATTCAGGGGCTGTTCTAGCTCTCTTTGCTTGTGTCTTGTAGTCAATTGATGTCTCATCGCAGTCCAGCATTAATCAGCAAGCATTGAAGGGCTCCTATTTGCCCCGCTACCTTGTCTCCATAGCAGCAATGTCTTGATGAAATCGTTCACCATACTCTTCTTCATTGACAGCTTCACAGTTTGAGGTAAAGAAATCCAGATGAGAATAAAGAAAATAAATTTTCAAAGACCAAGACTCTTAAACTTCAGAAGGAGATTTTCTACAATCTCATTGTAAATCAGATCTGCTGTTTCCAAGAAAACTGTCTGCCAACAACTTAAATGCTATTCTTTCTGCTTTTTCCTTGCCATGCAACACGCACAGAAACTTGTCACTGTGAAGAAGTTTTTGAATTTGCTGACCAACAGATACTCCCTTTCTTTTTTAAGCTTCACCCCATCTTGGAAATGTTCCTATGAAATATTTGAAAGCATCTTGTTTTCTCCATGGCCTTGACAAAGTTTTTCTTTAGACCCAGCTTAATGTGCAAGGGTGCCAACAAAATCTTGCTGGTGTCGACAAATGGTGGGTTTTCGAAGTTCTTACTACTAGGCCGCAATGACCGCCTGATTGGCCAGTGTCTTCTGTATGTTCACAGAGAAAGCAGCAGTGCCTGGTATATCTACCCTGTGGTTCCAGCAAAATAGCGACCACTGGCGATTGTAGTTTATACACTTCAAAAGCTGCCTAATGTTTTCATAAGTTTCTTTCATGTGAACTGTGTGACCTACTGGAATCTATGGTTATATAGATCACCATTATTCAACAAAACAGCTTTAAGATTCGTCTTGGATAAATCAATTAAAAGCCTCCAATCTTCCAGTTAGTAATTGATTTTTAGGGCTGCAGTTAGCCCAGAAATGTTGTGGCATGCAGAGAGGTCACCTTCTTGGAAAAAAAAAAATATTTAACGGCTTCTGCTGGTTCTTATACGCAGAAATTATAACATCTTCTGTCAGAAGATTCCACTGTTGCAATCTGGAACTTAAACGCTCCACTTTGTTCTTTAGTAAATTCAGATATCTTATAAGATCATTAATTTTACATTGGATTAATAAGTGTGGTTTAATGGATGTAGTTTGCTCACAGTCTGGGTTGCTTGAGGTTGGTGGTTCAGGGCCACCAGTATCCTGTTCTTCATCAGTGGAAGGAGCTGACAATAATTGTGGCACTTTGGGTACTGGTAGGTCATCGCCATGTGGTACTAGACATATTGCAGAGGGAATGTTTGGATACTCCAGGGTCCATTTCTTCTTGAATATGTCTTTCCCAATTGGAGGGATGATGCAAAAGTAACAGCTTTTGAGATGATCAGTGGGCTCTCTCCAAATCCTTAGGACAGCAAAAGAGAAAGCTTGCCTTTTGTCACCCAACCACTGTTTGAGGTTTGCTGCACATGAATTGCAGCATATGTGTGGCTAGCACCTTTTATCTTAATCTATTCTGCAGCCAAACTGTATGCCTTTTTAATCACTTTGGTTGTATTTGTTTTTGTGAGAGAAATGTCACCTCACCACAAACATAACGGAAGTTTTCAGAGCAGTTCACACATGCCCTAGGCATTTCTAACTATGACAGTATTAATAAAGACAAAGACACCAGCTAATAGTGGCACAATTTTGTCAGAAATAAAATATTTATGCAGAGGTTATGTAATCATAGGTAGAACTGCATCGTCAACTTCTGGTTATGTAATCATAGGTAGGACTGCATCGTCAACTTCTGGTTATGTAATCATAGGTAGGACTGCAAAACTTCTGGTTATGTAATCATAGGTAGAACTGCATCGTCAACTTCTGGTTATGTAATCATAGGTAGGACTGCATCGTCAACTTCTGGTTATGTAATCATAGGTAGGACTGCATCGTCAACTTCTGGTTATGTAATCATAGGTAGAACTGCATCGTCAACTTCTGGTTATGTAATCATAGGTAGGACTGCATCGTCAACTTCTGGTTATGTAATCATAGGTAGGACTGCATCGTCAACTTCTGGTTATGTTTCATAGGTAGGACTGCATCGTCAAAATATGTTCATAGATGGACTGCATCGTCAACTTTGGTTATGTAATCATAGGTAGGACTGCACGTCAACTTCTGGTATGTAATCATAGGTAGGACTGCATCGTCAACTTCTGGTTATGTAATCATAGGTAGGACTGCATCGTCAACTTCTGGTTATGTAATCATAGGTAGGACTGCATCGTCAACTTCTGGTTACAGTTTTACTGGTCATTAGAAAGAATTATGCAGCCGGCTACAACAGTTGTGAAATACATGTAATTCTGCCCTAAATAAGTAAACTAGTAGTGTATATCTTGAAAACTAGAGCCAGTCAACATTTTTAATGTCATTTTCGTTTTCAGCTCGGCAAAATTGGTTAAGATGGGCTATTTTCATTTCTGGTACATTTTGGTTGTTGTCTAGTGTAATTGTTTTATGTGATCGATCAGGTTTTTTGGGATTCATGAGGTTATAATGAGACTGCAGTCCTGCTAGAGAAAACTACCTACCCTTTACCTGATTAGGCAGAACATTTGGTTGCCCACACTGGCATTTTTGGTGGGCTGCAGCCCATGGTTTGAAGAACAGTGTTCAAGAACTTTTATGTCATGTTAGACAAGTGCAGAAGAATTAGTGGAACTGTTTCCGCCGCTGATCAGGTTACCTTACTGTTATGCTGCGGTTTATTGAAGTGTGTGGCTACTAACACCCCCCCTCTGTTTAGCTTATCCTTTACATCAGAGCTATTCAAACGGGTGGCTAGATGCCAAATTTGGCTCGCTGAGGCCTAGCAAGTGGCTCAGGTCAATGCCGGTTGTGTTAATGATCTTTCTATCCAGGAGTTTGACCTCTGACCCGTGATGATCCCTATTTTCAAAATTGTGGCCCTAAATAATCTTAGTTGAATAGTCTACTTTACAGGTTGTTGCAAACCAACACCAGCATTTATTGGGTCTTTGTGGTTTTACTGAGTAGTTTGCCATTGCTTTTTCAATAATCAGCGCTCATGCTTTTTGTTGTTGCAAAATCAATGTAAAGCAGGCTGGTGCCAAATTGATGACTCCTAGAAATGCATTAATATATGTGTGTTATGTCTTGGGACATTCGGTAAACTAGGGTAGCCGAAGGCTAGAAATTATCTATAAAGCACTCAGTGAGAAAGTGGGTGCTCTGTCTATAAAGCACTCAGTGATAAAGTGGGTGCTCAAGCACTTCATTATTTGGCATCCTGGCACAAGAATATGTTGCAAGCATTCTACTTGCACACAGTTATAGTGTATAACACAGGCATGGCATTTTTCTATGTATTGTTCAGTTTCTATAATTTGTTGATTTTTATCAGTCTTTACCATATTCTTATTTTGTAAACTAAAAAGTACCCAACATATTTCTTGTATAATTCTGGACTTGAAACTTTCTTTTTTGATATGTAAATATTACAGACATACAGAAGAAAACATTTTTATTAATAAAATTTTTGAATTTTTTAAAGAGAGATCATTTTTGTGGGTTTGGAAACAAGCCATTTGGTTAAATCAGCAGGTAAGATTTAATTTGATAGAAAAAGTATAAAATGAGAGATAGAACAGAAGCGTTGAGAGAAATGTATTTTAAGGGAGAGAATTTCAACAAGAGAAGACAATCCACACACTGAGCATCTCATTAAAGAGAGAAAAAAGAGTAGACAAGGGCAATAGGACAGTTAGGAAACTGACAAAGAGGCTGCTGGGTAGAGTGGCAGCATGGCTTAGGGGGATGTCTATTTCATGTAGGATATCAGACCAAACAAAAAGTAGTCACTTTATGTTTGTGACACAGCCTCATAAATGTTGATATATGGTCATTTCTGTGGTGATCTGTTATCAAAAAGCATAGATAATTGTTTTTTTTGCACCTGTGCAGTGTTTTATGAGGACAGCCGCCATGATGTAACATCTAGACACTTGCCTGTGGATCTAAAGGTCATGGGTTAAAATGCACATGACAGATTTTTTGTATGCACAGGTCAACCCAGCCTTAAATGGGTACCAGGTCAAGTTGTGGGAAGTAAAGGTGGCACCCACCCCCGTACTGAAT